GATATCACGCTAGAGGAAGAAATGTTCGATCCATCTGGGAACGTCGGAAAAATAGCGCCAAGCGCAGACCGGTATCCCGCAATAGTGCGTACCTGGAGACCCGACTCAAACAGATAATGCAAAAAGAGACACACCTGACCTAGAGAGGCTGACATAGGATCCACTTCGTGATCGGTGCACCACCGGAAGAAGTGCTTAAGGCGACTGTTGTAGATCGCGCGAGTCGACTCCCGACGGGACTTGGCGGCAGGGCCATCTGGAATGCCTGAACCTCGGAGATTATCCCGGATAAGGGCCAAACAGTCAAGTTCAGCGATGTTCAAATCAATTTCAAAGGCTGGGTGTATCCAACTTCGAACAACGTCGAAAAGGGAATGAGGACGTTTGTTAGGGAGACGGTTCGCACGTGGCGCCTTGGGTCGGACTGTTCCATTATTTTCGAAGGGGTGTTCCATTTTGGGAACAATGGCAATTAGTCGGTTATCCAGGTAAGTATTCACGAAATAGACTACATCATCATCATAATAATAATAATAATAATAATAATAATAATAATAGTGTAGATTTGTATAGCGGCGGTATTCATCAAAGAAGGTGCTCATGGCGTTTGATATTTGGACTAGTAGCTCGATCAATGATTTTCTTTGCTCCTAAGGATCCTTTCATGTCTGTGGTACCCGGTAACCTGGTACCACCACAGAGGCTGTCTATACCAGTACACTGGGTATCCCCCAACTCGTCTCGAATGATGTACCGGGTTCTTATAGTGCACACAAGCCATTTATAGTCCTTATCCAAGAAGACTTGTTCTACTACCAGAACCATAGGCGAGCGTGCCGTTCGAACCAGCGCCGATATGATGGCTGTAGGTTGCAGCGTCCCTGCCTTAACGGCTCGGCCATTCTACTATGTACAACTTACATTGGACAGTTCATCTTCTTCTGCCATCTTCTTCAAGTAGTTTGCGGAAAGAAAGACGGAATTCGCTGTCTCCGCAACAAGAGCAGCGACTACTTTGTTAAACATAAGCTCAAGAAGGTTACAGCTCCATCCCATGCCCTAGAAAATAAAATATATACCAAATTTATTTCACTATTTGCTACCAAATAATGCTGCGAAGTAATAGACCCCCCACATTATTTACATGAATGCACTTTATGCATATGTTTTTCAAGACAATAATAATCTTTGATTTATTTCACAAGAAATATGGGAGCATATAAATAAAATTCAAAATATAAGTCTTTATAGTGTAATGGATGACTAAATAAACAATGAACACTTTTATCAATTTTTAGAACTTACTTGTAGCAACAGCTGAAAGTTTTCATGACGTGAAACAATTGTGAAGTTCTCAGCAATGTAGACAAGGCCAGCATCTCGTAGTTTCTCCACTAGCTCAATTAAAGGCTCGTTCCACTTTACTCTTGGGAGAGTCTCAAGAAGTTTATCGCTCTGTGTTACTATGGCAACCACTGAGTCAGGTTTCTATGAAATAAAAGGCACTGATTATATATCTTATTTTGACAGTATCCAGCCCATAGAATAAAAATACCATAAAATCTGTAAATATTTCTAAACAGGTACAAAGAATATTGTACTCACCAATTCCTCCAGTGCATTCTCATAACACATTTGCATAAGTTGTTTCCCCATGGCAGCAAAAGATTTTGACCTCCACACTTTTACAAAATGTTTGGTCATCCACCTGTAAATAAATATGCAGATCAGTTATTAGCTATTAATTATTGCATAAATAACACGACATCACGATTCAAGAACAGTGAACTTCAAGATTGTTTGACTCCAAATTTTAAATTATGCATATTTGTATTAAATTTCATTTTATAAGTCATATGAAACACAGAGAGCTCCCTAATAGTAAACTTGATTTTACTTTTGAGCAAAAGCTTCTTTTACATTTCTTTTACGTGCTTGTTTTTTATTTGCCATTGTATTCCAAAAGTTTGTAATTACGAAATAAATGATGTGATATCTGATATGACAGATGCTAGGACTACAATTGATTCTACCAAAAACAGAAATCTCAAAACTATAAAATTAATATCATTTTTCCACAGTTGTGTCAAAAAATGTATTTCTTTTTGGTAATGGTAATGGTGATACACTTATATACAGCATAATAAGGAATCATTTCTATGCGTAAAAGAAACCAAAACCCAAGTGCACAAAAAAAAAACGAAAAAAAACTAAGAATGAAAAACAAAAACCAAAATAAAAGTAATAAAGTTCAGAATTAAAATAAAGAAAAAAATGAGATTTGAGCTGAAACTTGAAGACCCTCAAAGATGGAGAGTTTCTCAGGTAGTTGGTTCCAAAGCTTTGGAGCAGCAACAATAAAAGAACGATCGCCAAAAGTTTTAAGATGACCAATGGGACAGTTAAGAATGGTAGATGAGCATAAGGTAGACTATGAAATAAAAAGAATAAATGTGCTTGAAATTGACAGGGTCAGAAATAAGGCAATTATGTTTTATGTATCAATTTTAATACATATATAACAGATTGTCTCTAAAGCAAGACAAAGATAAATACTGACAGATATAGATAAATAAATTTAAATTACCTTAAGCAGGCTTTTGTGAAATTTGTTTCATGGAATTTAACAGACAATGCCAAAGCTTCTGGAGCACAAGCAAGACAACCTGCACAGGGCTGAAATATTCAATACATTGTGCTATAAATATTTAAATTTCCAGTTAATTGAATAGATAATATTACATTGTATACAAAAGTACTTAAGATTTTAGCTTAGTTTCCAAGCCAATTAACAGATGTAAAAACCAGTAAAAACTGGTTTGGCTTGTATAGGTCTCATTGAAAATTGATAACATATTTGATATTTTTATAAACAAAGTTTTTAAAATATTGACACATTTACTGAGTAACATCTGAATAATGAATTTAATTACTGACTGACATACTGACTTAGTAAACATCTTCATTAATTAACTAGACTGTACTCTATTGATTGATTACCTTGTGAAAGAAGTGACAATTATCACTTTTGAGTCGCAGCATAACAACCTCTTTTAAACCTTGTAGATTATACATATCAGCTATAAATAGCAACTCACTTTAAAGTAAAAGTAAAGAAACTCATTAGACGTATTTGTTTTGATTTATTGATCACAACAAACAAAAACATGAATTAATAGGAAAAAAACCAAACAAAAAGATAAAGTACACAGTGTCATATTTTGATATCTGAGATAACACCTAAATCCTGACACAGGATACATTCTCAAGAGAATGAATGAACCAAGCGTTGTCTATTCTCTATATTTCCAGAAAGGATCCTAATTGAGTAACTAGGAATTTCATACTTTGGACGTCACTGGTCAGTGGTGAATGGAATATAAAAACCATGAATAATAACTAGAATGTGTAGCTAGGCTTAGATGGTGGTGGAGCTAGTTAGTAGAAGATTATCCAATGTAAATTATAGGCCTTATGATGTTGTAACATGATCAATTTTTAAATAAATCTAAAATATTTGACAAAAGTGAGGATCCCAGGCTAATTAGTTATGAGAGACACACATTGGGAAAGTAGGCAAAGCCAAGCTTAAAAACCTTTCATTCACAATATTCCCACCATTTTTCAGATTTTATGATTAAGTAAGAACAACAATTATTAACAGTAATATTAATACTCACCAAATACTAGCTGTTTGTGGAATATTAAGCACACCTCCATAGATGAAGTACAATGTAGATAACAAAGCAGACAGGCTGAAGCTGCCAAAAGTTTTTTTTTTAAATTATGTTAATAAAAACACAAGATTAGGCACTTATGAAAAAAATCATTTTAGCTGCAGCATTTCAAGAGACACTTTTCAACCTGTAACTGTATGTATGAGAGATGATGATGATGATGACATCAAGTTGTAAATTTAAAAAAATATCTATTACTTTCAGGATCATTGTTTATTTAAAATATACTTTAAGAAGCTGGTCTTTCCATCAAATTGTTTAAATAGTAATGAGTAGCTAGAAAATACTTACTTTGGGAGATAAATATAAGAATCAGAGCTTTCACGCCAAGCACCGCTCAACATAGCAGCAAAATAATGAGTTCGCCCACTGACAATGAACCTGAAACATACAAATACAAGATCATTACCTTCTTTCAATTGAAGTCTTGGCTGTCATGCTACTTCAAGGCAATATGGTAAAGATACAGTTTTATTTAAATTTTAGTGTTAGAATACTTCAATGTAAATTTTATACTTCTGGCAAAAATGAAAAAATACAGTATACTGTACTACTATATACAATGTACACAAAAACAAACAAGAGTAGAGTTCAGGAAAAGTAAATACTATACTCTCCAGGATGGCATGTTCATTGTCTTTTAAACTACATAAATATATTACAACACATATAGAGAAACAAATGATTCTTTTAATCATCATAGAAGATTAAGACAATCATGATGATTATGGTATAACTGTGAAGGATTTCTTTTCCAGAAATGAGTTTTACAGTAAACCCTTAAGATCACAGATCAAGATTCAATTTTATTATCTCATTATAATACAATACTTGAATATTAAAACACTTTGCCATATAACATTTTAAATGTTCATTTTTTTACAGATGCAATGGTCAACAATAGCCCCCTTGCTTGTGTGTTTTAAATAAAAACAATAATGAAAATAATATATCAATGAGAGCACAAGAGGAAATCACTTGATAATTATCTCAATTGTTTAACTGCTATTTCTATTGTATCATTACCTTATATCTTTTGAAGCTCTCGAACAAAAATCTCCTAATTATTAAAATAAAATATATTTTTTTTAAACCATTATTAGGCTCTTACTTGACTTCTTAGGGTCACAGCTTACGTATTCAGATTCATAATGAATGCCAAGGCGAAATGCTGCATTCATAAAGGTCCTTTGTCTGTTAGAGAAATAAGTGATGCTGAAAGATATTGGATAATAGAAGCGCAGAAGTTGCTTAAAGGATTAGAAGAATACAGACACTTAAGCCCATTCAAAAGAAATAACATTGTGTACGTTGGCGGTAGAGCAAGTACTGAACGACTGTCTTATGATACCAAGCATCCTGTTCTTCTACCTCAAGGCCACCACATATCTTACTTAATCACAAAGCATGTGCATGATACCTGTCTCTTATACACATCTAGATGTGTATAAGAGACAGTAACAAAGCAGACAGGCTGAAGCTGCCAAAAGTTTTTTTTTAAATTATGTTAATAAAAACACAAGATTAGGCACTTATGAAAAAATCATTTTAGCTGCAGCATTTCAAGAGACACTTTTCAAACTGTATGTATGAGAGATGATGATGATGACATCAAGTTGTAAATTTTAAAAAATATCTATTACTTTCAGGATCATTGTTTATTTAAAATATACTTTAAGAAGCTGGTCTTTCCATCAAATTGTTTAAATAGTAATGATTTAAAAGCTAGAAAATACTTACTTTGGGAGATAAATATAAGGATTAGAGCTCTCACGCCAAGCACCGCTCAACATAGCAGCAAAATAATGAGTTCGCCCACTGACAATGAACCTGAAACATAAAAATACAAGATCGTTACCTTCTTTCAATTGAAGTCTTGACTGTGATGCTACTTCAAGGCAATATGGTAAAGATACAGTTTTATTTAAATTTTAGTGTTAGAATACTTCAATGTAAATTTAATACTTCTGGCAAAAATGAAAAAATACAGTATACTACTATATACAATTTACACAGAAACAAACAAGAGTAGAGTTGAGGAAAAGTAAATACTATACTCTCCAGGATGGCATGTTCATTGTCTTTAAACTACATAAATATATTACAACACATATAGAGAAACAAATGATTCTTTTAATCATCATAGAAGATTAAGACAATCTTGATGATTATGGTATAACTGTGAAGGATTTCTTTTCCAGAAATGAGTTTTACAGTAAACCCTTAAGATCGCAGATCAAGATTCAATTTTATTATCCCATTATACATACAATACTTTAATATTAAAATACTTTGCCATATAACATTTTAAATGTTCATTTTTTTACAGATGCAATGGTCAACAATAGCCCCCTTGCTTGGGTGTTTGAATAAAAACAATAATGAAAATAATATATCACTAGCCTGGTTCACGTCGAACTTTATCTAGATATACCCGTCTTGAAACATGATACGATAATCCCCTAATTGCGTTCGATGCCAAGTTAGAGCCAGATAAACAGCCAGCCAGTTTCAGGCTGTCGACGTCACACGGTCGAAAGGCTTGTTTAATAAAACATCTACTGTATTTTACGAACCTCTAGTACCAAGTGGTATTCGTTAAAAAAAATTGCAAACTACTGTGGAGAAGGTGTGAGTTTCCACTACCTAACCTAGCCGACCAGTATGAACCAACGACCAGTGCAGCAGCGTGTTCTATCGCAATCTAAGTGGTAGATTCTCTAGGCCCTGGCCCTAGCATTTACCTTCGATAAAAAACGAATTATTTTAATCGCTAGCTAGCATTCTTCCATTTAACAAAATATTGTTTTAATTTTCATTAAAACGTATGTATACTTTATGGACCTTTATGTCCTGTTTTGTAGTTTTTAAATCGCTCAATTGTGTTGTTTACATGCACTTCGCGAAAATCTAGCTTCGCGGTGTCAAATAAGTTGCTGACTTCCCACACACTTTTTTTATTTCGTCATTGTAAACATGTGCGCTCATTTTAACGACTGGCGATGGTGGTAGTTCGTTGAAATTGAATTAATAGCGACTATTATAGCAGAAATAGAAAAGATTGAATTGTCAATAAATAAATACAACAAATCTGATTTCATTATTAAGAAAAATATACATTATCACTTTGAAAAACGTACGCAATCGGACTTTTTAACGTTATTACTTGGTCGATGATGCAAAGGGCAAAGGTCATTGGTAATATCGACTATTCGTAAAACGGAAGTTTGCTGGGTGTTTACCCAAAATATTACAAATAATTTCTGAAAACCAGACTAATGAGACTACTTCGATGCTGTTGTTAGCACTGTTGAAGTACGTTGTTGCCAGCCAGAAGATGATAATGGTGGTACAATACAACAAAGCTGGATTAGATGCCTACGTTACGTAATCGTGTCCTTGTAATCCTAGCCGACTTTACCGTTAAGCAAGTTAATTTACCGTTATTCTAGTAAAGTTAAGTCACTGAACTTAAGTGACTTAACTCCTTTAACTAGCTATAATTGAGTGGTTCACGTCGAACTTTTAACTAGTTAAGTGGATGTATATCTAGATAAAAGTTTGACGTGAACCAAGCTAATGAGAGCACAAGGGGAAATCAGTTGATAATTATCTCAATTGTTTAACTGCTATTTCTATTGTATCATTACCTTATATCTTCTGCAGCTCTCGAACAAAAATCTCCTAATTATTGATGATAAAATATATTTTAAAAAAACCATTATTAGGCTCTTACTTGTGAACCCTGACCATTCCATCATGTACCCTCAACTCCAGGTCAGTACCTTTTCCACTGATTAATGTTGAAATTAGATCATTTCCTAGCTGACTACAACACTCGGGTAAATCTGTAAAGCCCTTTTCAGCACTCAGACTATTTACATTTTTTCCGGTACTATCTACAACCATTTCCTGCTGATGGTTTAATTCTTCCAGGTTTACGTTCTCATGTTCATTCATTTGTTGAGTACCATCTTCAATCGACTTTTTAAATTTTGATATCCATTCGTTAACAGTAGCTTCATAGTTGTCCACACTATCTTCAGTGTAAAGTGCCCTATGTAGGATATGAAACAAAACCATTATAATCACCAATGTCAGTAGAATACAAATTTCATCAGAAAAACTTGCTCTTCATCTAAGGACAAAAATATGTGATTCTCTAGAACCCGGGTATTCAAACTTTTTAAGTACATTGTGTTTGTTCCATTTTTTCTATGTTAGCCCCACCCATTTCTTTTATAGATGTGGATTCGAAATAGAAGGGGCCAGGAAGAACTTTCACAGATAGGGAGAAAATACCACCTCAGGCCCACCATGGTTGGGATGAAGTAAGAAAATTTATATTTATGGCACCTCTAGATGGTCGGAAATGGCACTCTCAGACTTAAATTTAAATATAATTTTCTTTCTTCTCCATTTTATTTTAGAAAGAATAAAAAAAAAACTTGCACTTTAGGTTATCCTACAATTTATCCTGTTATGTCAATATGTTTTATGAATAAACCAGAAATGAATTAAAAAACAAATTGTATGTTAAAATGGTTATGTAAGCCGGCTTACCTAAGCCAATTGCTAAAAGTGTCACACTCTTCCTCTGCTAAAAATGCTAAAGTCACTTCATCACCACAATCTTTGACATGACTGTAGAAAATAGGGGCCCGCTGTTGAAGGAGGGCAGTGTGAACATTCCACCGAATCTTCTTATACACAAACGTTAAATCATAGTGCTCCTCTCTTTCAAAAATACTGAAAAGAAAGTGATTTTCCAGCTATTACACATATGTAGTTGACCTTTAACTTCGTCCAGGGAAGGGGATATGGCAAAATATTCTGGAATGAAATCTCTCAACTTTTTAGCCCCTGTCAGACAGGTCAAGCTTCACTTATGCTAAACACGACTTCCAAAACTTCTCATAAAGGGGAAAATGGCCCAAAATTACTATGATTTTTTTAGACACCACCAGGACTTCACCCCAGACCCTGCTGATCTCCATAAAAAATTGTCCTACAGGCTTTTCACAAAGATACCCAATTGAAAATCTCATTAGGAATATGTATAAGATTCTTATTGCAATTCCAATTTCGACTGGCCCAATATCTTAAAAGATCTTATGAGACTTTTTATAGGATTATTTCAAGATCCAATAAAAATTCCTATTGTAATACTATTAAGATTATTTAGGAATTTAAAATATATTTCTATTAGGAACTACTAGTACATCCTATAAAAATTTTTATTACCATATTTATTAGATCATATATGAATTTTAAATATATTTCTACTAGGAATTGCTATTAGACCCTATAAACAGTTCTCATGTACAGTAATTTTTATTTGACTTGCTATTGGAAATTATATAAGATTACGCTGTATTTTGGAAATTGGCCCAAATTGTATTGGATCCTGTAAAGACATTTTATGGTAATTTTTAAAGATTCAATAATAATTCTTATTAGAATTTGAAATATATTTCTATAAGAAAATTCTGTTGAATTCTACAAACAGCTTCAGATAGCTTAGTATTAATTTTTTTAATTAATGTTATTTTCTTACCTATGCAAATCTTGTTGAAGTTGAATCGAGTTTGACAATCTCAGCTTTTCCCTTTCTTTTTTTTCTCTCTCCACAAATGAATCACTCATTGTTGTAGATTCTGTTATGACTTGGGCTGAAATAATAGAAATACAGTAAACTAAATTAAAACATATTATTTTGTCTAAGATTTTTTTTTATAAAAAGATTAAGGCCTGCATTTTTTAGAACTTGTGCAAGATAACAACTAACATACTGTGAAATGTACAATATCGAACTTAATGGAAGTCTGAAATATTAAATTGTAATCTAAACAAATTGTAGGCTTTTAGCATACTAAACGCAATTAGCACACTACCTACCTACTGTATATTGCTGACAAATCTTAAGCATATTTTTATTGGCTGACGGTGATGTAAACAATGTTGGATTGAATTGGATTTATTCGGTGTAAACATCAAGGATAGCCCAGGAAAATCTAGAAGACTTATTTCCAGTGGGGTCCTTTTGGTGGTGATTGGGCATTACACCGGGAGATGATCCCATACTCTTTTCCGAAGAGTGTACTGCGTTCTTTAACGTGCACATGGGCCATAATGCACACAGGACCACCGGCTTAAACATCTCATCCGAAAGACGGTGCGCTATTGTAACTTTTATTTCAGTCTTCTAGCTGAAACACAAGGAGAGGCAGTGATGGGAATTGAACCGGGGACCTAGAGATCTCCACGGTTCAGCGCACACACAACGGCTACCACCAGATTAGCCGACTATGCTAAGCTGATCAATGTTGAATTGATAGGTTTATGTAAAATTTGTAATCATGATGGTCAGTGTTGCAAACTCGAACCATGCTTGACTTTCTGACTTGGGCATGTAAAAACAAGGATAGAAATGAGGTGAAAATGGTATCTAAAAAAATAATACCAGCAAATCTCAAAACCATTGTGAACTAAAATGTTATATCCTACCCTGGATCACAATGATAACGTTCAATGTATCTGGGACACTTTTCTTTCGAACTGATCTTATGCAATAAATTTGCATGTCTGTATACTCAATTGAACAGATTGAATTAGGATAACAAATCATCATAAACATAATTAATAGATGGTATCACTTCATAATTATTCCTCCCACTACCAAAAATTTGCACCTCCCTGTAGTAATTCAGTGTGGGCCAAGTAGGTTTATACTAAGTGTTTACATATTTTAACAGACTTGAAAAAAATGGAAATATTTAAACTCTGAAAACCTGAAATGTGTAAGGGTTGTGCAAGGTATGGCACAGTATGTTGGTGTCACATTTTTGAAAACCCTGTTACAAAATTTCTAGCACACATGAATGGTTTACCTGTTTTTATTCTACATGCGTGCATACTAGTACAGACCATGCTTTACTACTGTGCAGTACTATTAACTAAGAAAACAATAAATGCATTTTAGAAGTGATGTTTCTTACATACTGCAACCACAGACTCATTTATGGAGTCATATTTTGATCGTGGTATCTGTATCTTCCTACGGTGTCTTTTTGGAACCATTTTGTTCAATTCGAGTAGCTCAATACAACAGCAATTCATCAGCCAGGTTACTTCAGTCTCTCACCTTACAGAACAATACAAATCCTACCCAACTAGGCCTTAAAAGGCAGGGAAGGATGACGCATACTTAAGAATTCAGCGCACCGTATATCACGTCTTCACGGTCAATAACAACAACCAGCAGTATAGCCTAACTACCGAGCTTTATGATGAGGGACTGTTGCTGTACGTTTAATGTATCGTATTAGCCCTATTCCACAACAGATTTCCTTGTTACCCAACTTTGATTTTCATCAAAGCCAAGCCGAATATTATGTTTTCAGACAAATATGAACAAATAAATATTACTTTCTATCTAACCTAAATTCATTCAATTAAAAGTACTGAACACCAACTTCTCTTTTAGGAACCTTATTTTTGTTGTTTACCTCAAATCCTCTATTAAAACAAAATACCGATTTCAATAGTAAAATGTAGCTGATGAAATCGTGTTGAACCGCATGTATTTAATAATATGCTGTTTATGCATAGACTTCTTGTCCAGACACATTTTTCCTGTTCGCCCGACCGATGATCAGATCTGAGAACAGAGACAGCAATACTGAGATAATTTCAAATTTAACAAAAAAGTTTTATATCCTAAATGATATACAACTGGTAAGTAGCTACACATGTAATGATATTTCCTGTTATTAGTCAACTCCTATATTGCTTTGTATTCATCTAAAAAGTTGTCTATACAGACAGTACTTGATGTTTGTTTACCTACCTAGCCTGGGCTGGAGAAAATAATGAGGGCCCACCATCCACTCACTCAGCAGGGAGGATGAACAGAGCTTCACACAGATGATGTGGGATCGGCTAGCTTCCGTTTTGTGGTATAAGACAGTGTCATCTAGACTAAACCTAGAATACGTTCCTAGGCCATTTCCCATCACTATTTATTGATATGTTAACTTTTTTTCTAATCAAGACTGAGAATGAAGTAAAATAATGTGAATTAATTAAGAATATAGGAATAAAGATAAAATAAAAATAAAATATAGCCTAGGCCTAGAACCAGCCACGCAAAAATTTGGCCTAGAAATCCATCCGCATATTGTTATTATTATTACTGATGCTGTATTTAGAATTATTTGAGAATTTGTTTGGTTGGTGCTGAGTAGGCTGCAAGCTAAGGAAATAATTGTATGTTTTCTTTTTTCTGTTGCTTATGGTAAAATAAATGTCACATTGATTGATAATTGAGCGGTATAGAAGAGGTTTTCCAATGATTGTGGCTAACTGTGTATCCAAAAGTTACAGTAATCAGTGCCTCAGACTAGTTTCCTGGATACAGTATACAGAGTGCCGTGTTTTTAATACATAGACAGTCAACTATGTGCTTACTCCTGTTACATAGTGTTGTTGAGAGCAACACAGAGCACCAACAAATCACAGATCATAAATATTTTAAAGTCATGTACCAATAGATAAAAAAACAAAGCTGTTTAATTCTTGATTAATGTTCACTTGGTACATTTGATAATCTTGAATTGACACATTGGTATAATTTCCTGTTATTTAACTGTTATTGATAATGAATGTTTTATTAAGCAAAAAATTTTGCCTGTTATTCACATTGTTGTTTCAACAAACAATGGTTTTCACATTTCAGATATCAATAATTGAGGCAAAAACATTAGCACACACTGTCTCATCACAGTACAGTAAGATGTATACTCACTGCTGCAAGCAATGAATAATGGCACCAGCTTCCTGGTTTGTATTTTACATGACTTGTGGTTTCTGTACATGCCTTGTTTTGATCGATTATAGAAACCGAGAGAGTTTTGCTGCACAATGGCCTACAATCAATAAAGTAAGTATTTCTTTTGAAAGATAAGATAACTGCTATTTTATTACTGTACTATATACAGTATACACGTGGTGTTTTTCTCCCCATTTAGGAATGTTGTCATACCAAGCAGGGCTTACCATTTAGTATTCCAAATTTCAAACAATTGACATATCAGTGGCAAATTTTGTTGAAATATGTGCAGAGATTAGCTTTATACTTTATCAGAAATTCTGCTTTTAAAATTTTCAGTGTATACATAAATAAAATGTTTTTGGAGGGAAAATGTAAGGTCAAAATATATAATGTTACATACCGGTACATGCATGTCTGTGTACCGTAAGGGACTACATGGTGTGTACTCTGAGCAATCATTTCTGTGGTTTTGGGATTTACCACATTCCTCTTTAAAACTTCAATGGCATTGCTGCAAATTTTGCCTGTCATGTCATCCTGAAATCTGTTCCACTTCTGCCTTTTTGATTTAAAATTCTCTACAAACATTTCAAACATGAATGCGTCTAGATATGCATCAAACCCTGCTTGTAATATGCATGTGATAGACAAATAAGTGTAGGTGTCAATATTTGAATGTTTGAATATAAACTGACTGAAGGATTAACGGTTAAAATAAAAAATGTATATTTAAATGTCAACAAGGTTTTGTTTGGAACTGTTATTCCACAACTAATCATAAGCTATGTTGTCCGAAAGGCAATGAAAATTTCCAAATTATAGTTTTTTTAGTCATTTTTATGTTTCACATTATTTTATGGACTGTAGTTTGGCCTGTACAGTAGTCTACTATCATTTACAGTATATTCCATGTTTCACTTTCATAGAGCAATCACTAGATAATTAACAAGGGTGTTAAAAAATTTAATATTGTGTTTTTCTTAAGATACAGGTTCTGTACTTAATTAGCTGTTGCCTTTCTAAAGCGGAGTAAAGACTATTTGATTTATTCATTGTTGCGAAGCAGCCAATTCATATTCTTGACAGGAATTTGACCTCTGAAAGGTCATTGTTTGTCAAAAAACAAGGGCCTAAGACGACTGAAAAGCGGAATTTCCTTCTTTCGTTCTGCCGGGTAAAATCAATTACTTTAGGCGACGTTTGTAGACTAACCAACACGTAACAACGTCCGCATGTCGCGCTAGCCTTATCCTACTCTTGGCCTAGACTAGCTAGGATGGTATAGGCCTAGCCTTGAAGGGACGAAGGTCCCAACATACATTCTTTTGTTTCTGAATAAAGAATGATGGGGGAAAACATGCATAACTGTTTAATAGCTTCATTAAAAAGCAACAAAATATAATGATTTCATCAAAACTATTTATATTAAATGTCATCAATTAGGCAATGAACTATTAATAATTTCATCAACTAGCAAATTATAACAATGTCATCAAGTAGCAAACTAATGTGATCCTGTCTCTTATACACATCTAGATGTGTATAAGAGACAGACTTTTCCACATACATAGACATTTTTGAAACTTTATAAAAAAAAACCTAAACCATAATTTACCGCTATAGACACTTTTTGACAAAAATGAAAAATTACGACTTTGTACCCAATGAGAAGTGTTCTAATATAGACAATGGGTCGTGTCTCATATTATTTGTTATATTTTTATTATTCATTATTTTCACTTGACTCGCATAAATAATTTTGTTCGAAGAACATTTATATGCAGTTGTACTTCGCAGCACTTCACTTGCAATTTGCAATTTCTAGTTTTAAGTTTTGATAATTTGAGTACAAAAATATGCTAAACTGTAGATCAAAGCAAGATTCATCCCTTGAAGAGAACTTTTTTTGCTTGGTTCTTTTTAACTTTATATGGATTTAATTTTCAATGTTGAGTGTATTTAAAAGACAGATTTCTGTAGTCTTTTGACAGAGTATAATGGCAGAATTTGACTCAAGTCTCATTCACATCAAACTTTTTTATGTTCAGTTATCTAGATTATTATAATATTGAAATATGATAATTATGTAAACTTGTCTAGAAGATGCTGAATGTTTTCATTTGTTTCCTAGTCATGTTCTTTACAGCATTTTGTGATTGTTTTCTAGGTAGTAATAGCCTACGTATGTCTACAGTAGATGTTAACATGCATTCGTTGAAATGTAAATGAATGATTGCCAAGTGTATTTGCTTAATCTTGTCTACAGCAGGTAATAAAAAGGGTGAAGGGCAATACTCAGAATTCTCAGTACATTTAATTTTAAGAGGTCTTTGTGTTTGAGCTTCAATAATTACTTGTGTATTATACAGCAATTTCAAACTGACAATTCTTTTTTTTTTTCAGTAAGTTGACTTTCTGTCTAGACTCTCTTTATTATGCATCATCAGATAGCGACCTATCTACTGTGATAGACAGATTAAAACATGCCCCTATTGATTGTAGTTTTTTTTTTTTTCATTTTGTTAATCAAGTACCAGAGTAAACATTTTTTTTGAGTTTGCTTGAAAATGTTTTTTTTTCTTTGTGTACATTTGCGATCATTTGTTTCAACATCTTTAGTCAATGATGTGAGGATTAAGCATTGGTCAGATCAGCGTAGAAGTGTCATTGACTTTTAGTAATTTGTGTCATGGTTGACTAGGTAAAATGTAGAGTAGGCACACCAGTTCCTGGCTGGCTACAACTGGGATTCTTACATGTTTTGGCAAGTCGAAGAAATTTTTTTGAGTGTTTTCCATGACTTTTGCCGGTTATTATTTGCATATATTTTGGTAAATAAAATTTAATTTTCAGCTTATTCATAAATCAGTTAACATTAAAACAATAGACATCCCTGTGTAATAATAGCATTGTTCTGTGACATTAGATTATAACTTATGAAACTCAAAATCAGAAAAAAAAAACCAGTTTTGAAGCACTAGAGTGTACTGACCTAGCAACATTCTCATACTTCAGCATTAACCATAATCATTATATGTGTAGGCCTCAGGAATATTTAAATTGGAGTCATTTCATAAACATGTCTGCCTAGGGCATGTACTACTGATAGACTTCTGTTGTTTAATTCATCTTTAAACAGTAACTCCTATGCATACATGACTAAAGAGTGTAGATGAATACAAGATATTCAAGAATATGTGCTTTGTTGTATCCATTACTTTCAATGACAATGCTGTTTTTAAAAATCTATTGACCTTCATATTATTTTTTTGTGTACACTTATTTAAAAAAAAGATGGAAATTCTTTTGCCTTTGCTGTTATTATTATTTCGTACTGCACTGTTATCCTGACCCTAGTTGGTAACTAGACCAAAATCATTATAATACCAGTGATATCTTTGAGGGCGGATCATGGGGCTACTAGATCTTCCCCTCCCCTTACCCCAAGAAAAAGAGAGAGAGAAGAAAAGAAAAGCAGAGGGGAGAGAAAAGAAAAGGGTAATCGAAAATGCTGTATGATACCTCTATAAAAAACTGTAGGCATATGATTGTGTGCTTGCATTGATTATACTTTCAACTATGCAACACCCCCTGATTCCATCAGATACAAGCTGTATTTTATGCGCTAGTATCTACATTATTGTACTATCCAGTAAAGTTGGTTTCTTGTACAATCATTAATTTTTGTTGTAAGCCTTAAACAACTCCTTGATTGTATAAAAAAATACATGTAAGGGTTACTTCAATATTTTTTTTTATTTTGGTTTTGTCTTTGTATGATTTTATATACTGTAGTACAAAGAAGTAAGATCATCTATTCTAAGATATGATTGAACAAATCATGCCAAGAAGAATTTAAAAAGATTTAATATGAACATTCACAATAAGATATTCCATTGAATCCATACTCTACTGACTAGGATGATATCATACCCTGTATTGGTCCCAAAATGTCTGATGTCCAAAAATCAAATCAACAAATTATGATGGCATGATGAGGTTGCATCATTAGGACATTGAATATTAATTATTCATGATGAAGTAGAAATTGTATGAAAGCTGATAGGTGTGTAGTCAAGTGGAGGATCTTTATTTAAAATCATTTTCTGAGTATTCAGTTCCTTTACCCGGGAACCCACATCCTATGGACGTTAAAACAGCTCCAAATATCATCAGAGCAAACAAAGTTATTAGAAGATGTCATGAAATTTATTTTAAAAAACCTCTAATATTCAATTAAAACATTTCATACTCAAAAATTATCAAATACACTAAAGATTTTTATTATTAAAAATAATAAAAATCATTTTTGCAATTAATTTGCCCATTTTGAAGTAACATAAAAATGATCAACTTGAACATAGAAATTAGTGTACTGTATTTAAAAAATGTTACCCATGATTTTACTGCGAAAGTGATAGAAATTTTTTTATTTTTATTATATTATATCAAGTTTAAAAATCAGGGTACACGTTTTTTTAATTCAATAATTTCTATGTTGGAATTTAAAAAAATAAAAAACTCAATTTTTACGAACAGATGAATTGTTTCGCTGGTTTGCGGTCATATTTACTTCTTTATCAATCGACACCTGATAAATATAAATAAGTAAACATTTAAATATTTTTTTTTAATTACACATTTTTTCAAGACTCAATTGATTAACTCATTTAAAGCACTATTGATTGATTGTTTATTTCGTATCATGACTATAAATTTTTTTGAACACTAAACATCAGTTCATTAAAAAAAAAAACTTAATTAGGATTTGTCTGTGTTGATATCTCTGTCATTGAAACTTGCGATGAATTATTACTGGGAATCTATGTACAGTATCGTGTGTATAAAAGATCAGCATTCAAATACTTTCTAATTACTTGAAGTTAAAATACCATACAGTAGGTTCATGCTTATGGTGTCTTTAATTCACAAGCTGACTTAATTTCCACCATATATAGTTAGTGAGTGTTAAATGCTAATGTTTTGTAAATTATACTTTTTTTTTATATGTCACATTGTTTATTCAGACATAGTTTACAAGGCTCGATTTAGTACTAGTCCAGCAACAATGTCTAGTAAAAAACAATCTGAGCTACTACAGTAGCCTATTTACCACCTCATGTTGCCCAGTGGTCTAGTGAAAAATAAAGCCAGCTATTTCCTTCATACAAAAAGATATAGTGGGCTTGTAAAATAATCTGTGGGGCTAGTAAAATCTAGCAAATTAGCCCTGTGGGCTAGTTACCAAAGAAAGATAAAGTGGATATAATAAAGTAAATTGATGATCTATGTTACTAACTGTGTTTTCAGTCATATGAGGCTATCCCTAATTTCATAGTAGATGTGAATGGTGCAGTTCTCTGATCAAAGGAATTTGCCAAACCATCATAGTAGGGGCTGGGGATGGGCCGGGTGGTGGTTTTTCTTAGCATTAATATAATGGTAACCATCAAGCTCTGGTTCAATTTTCACATACATAATTTTATTAAATTAATAAATCGGTTAAAAGTCTTTTTTTGACAAGATTTAGTAGTAGTAGTAAAATTGCATAGAACGTAACAACAATGCAGTTGAAATGATTGTTAAATCTGTAGAGGTTCCTTCTAGGAAAATTTGGAACCTTTCAATACCACAGCATACAGTAGACCTGTAATTTATAGATATTGGACCATGCTATACTTTCTCTTGGGATGTAAGCAGTTATAAATTTATTTACAATTTATATTCAGTAATTTAAATAGAAGCTATTAATTGTCTGATTAATTTATTCAAAAACACAGAAATTGTTATTTATATTTTATATATTTATAACTAGTCAGTGTGAAGAATGAAAATAAAAGAATAAAAATACATCTTCTAAAACAAAAGGGATTTGTTCAACAAATAAATGTATTTCCAAAAATGTGATTTAATTGGTAAATAAATGGTGAGGAATCATTAAAGAGATGGGACAACTACAATATATCATAATTTGCCACAGCAACCAAGAATGTTCAATGTATCCCAGTTATTTCAGTAGGCCTGTGTTTGGCTGTCATCAAAGGTAAAAAATGAATTACGTCTACAGTTCATTAAGATGACCATTTATTTGTAACTGATATCTCCCTACAGTCTCAAGTAGGCTAATTGTAATGTACAACATGCCAATAATATTACCTAATTGAATATGTATTGTACAGTACTGTGCTTCAGTCTTATGCACTTCCATCAATCACTAATTAATTGAACCACAGTGATCATCTTAATCCTCGAGCCAGAGGGCGGGGAAATTCGTTGTATCATAACACAATTTAATTAAAGAACAGTTGAAATTAATACTTAATCATTTTATTTTTAACAAACTGTAGTATATCAAAACAGTCATGATTTTGTAGGCTTAATACAGTAGTCATATTTAGCATTTAATTTTAAGTATTCTATTTTAAGAATTTGTTATTGAATAACACTATGTTATGAGAAGCACTACTACAACGCTGTGTTGAATGTCTGAACGGGTACCGGTACCTTAATTTATATGCTGCCAGTAATTCTTTCTTAAAGCCATGAGGTAGGATAAATAAGGCCATTTTGTAATAGAAATAAATGATTCCTTGATTGAAACTGGGATGCAACACTGATTTGATGGTTATATTCTGATTCAGTCTTGTAAATCACTACTGTCCGAGGTCCACATGTACCATAGTTAGTTTTCTTACAATAAAAAAAAAAACAGATCTATTTCACAAGTGTCACACAGATAAATGCAGTTGAACTGAATTTGTAAAAATTTAGTTCTGTATTTAAAATTGCTTACTGCACTTTGTAGACAAAAAGTAATTTATAATATTAGCATTCATACATATTTTCTTTGTGGACTAAATAAATAATACCTTTCCTATATTTGTTTGTTTTTGTAGCAATATAATAAGCTTATAATTTAAGATTGTAGTGTTTAAATAAATTCTGGTATATGTAAGAAAACTAATCAATATGACCTTTGACATGCTAATAAACTAATTATTACTTTAAGTCTTCTAACAGATAGCATCCTGAATATTTTAATAACAAAGGTCTAAACGAATTGTTTATTGACTTTTTTGGTCTGTTGAATCACCAATCATTGAATAGACTATGTTGGTGACATTTGTACTTTGTACTTGGCAAAGCTTTGTGCCTATTTATTGACAATACTTTTTCAAAGTTTGGTGACATTACCCAACGGCAGCTACATGACGATAGATGATGTCTGTAAATATGTATCATAGGACCTCGCTGTATATCTTCAGTGAATAACACTGAACTAAAATTAGAAGACATTGGAAATTACTCACAAGTCTGTGGACTTTTTATGTCGATCGACAGTGTAGTTTGCGCATGCTTATTATTGTTTGTCCCAGGAAGTGTATACAGTCTGCGTTAGGATTTATATGTTCGTCGCAAATTCAGGAGTAAAATTAAAAATTGAAGAATAATTTGAATTTTGGGATTATTTTTGAAAGAAATATCAGTTGGATTTTCCCATTAGTATGTTACAGTGGAAGGTATGCTGTGCTATGAACTGGAATGGAAGCAGAATTATTCTGAAATATATGTCATACAGTAAATGTTACTTCGAAGAAGACGCTTAAATCAGTGACATTAAAAATTACGTGATTTTAAAAAAACCTGTGGTGTACATTACGTGGTGCTTTCTTTCGAAACAGCACAGAAGATATATATGACATAATATTAAACCATAAAGTGGTTTTTCCAATTAGCGGAAGACATAATGCTTCTGTCACCACTAATAAACCCGGCTCGTTATGCTGTGCGAAAACTGCTTGCTTTCCTTCGACTTGGTCCTTCTAAATCAAGCAGTAAGTATCGTCTGTTGTTCTTTTGACATCCCATTGTCATGGACATGGTAATTTCATTCATTCTGTTTCTCACTGCATTTTTACCAAAATATTCATTCTATTGTATACTAAAACTTACTTAATTTTTCTGTAGTATTGCGCAAATGTATGTCTCCGCAGCCTAATATCAATAATGGTCAGGCAATGTTTATATATATATATATATATCGTAATTGAGAATTTCCAGTCTGTATGTTTTATAAACAATACAAACTTATGGATTACAGTATTAATGGCTTTTATGCTGGCAACCGACTGATAATTTTTAACATATGTTGCTATTGCTAGGAATATGATGTCATTCTGTTATGATTAAGTTTGGGCAGCTGTTCCATTCCAACTAAACCCTTTCTGCAGAGTTGAAGTTGTTATGTCTTTAGACTCTTACAATCTTTGGATGGATGGATTAAATTGACCTAAAAGAGGTATTTTACCAGGGCTGTTAATTCCAGCAGACATGGATGCAGATCAATGAGAAAAATACCCTTCGTTTTTTTTGAGATTTGTTAAATTTACTCCTCTCTCCTACCTCAACATGTTTCACAAATTTTGACTGAAAATGACTGAAATTTGTGAGAATGATTACTGTACTTACAGTACAATTATTATACAATCAAAAAGCACAAATACAGTAGAGGATGATTTGTTTTTGATTTTTGAATTCTTCTCAGTATACAGTAGCCTACTGTAGAGTACATCATAGAGTACAACAAAAGATTAAAACTTCATTCATCATAAGCACACCAACAGGCAGTGTCATCATTAAATATTTTATGCATGGGATTTTAGTATACACAGCCATTAGAACTTTACAGTCACTGTTATCAGATTATAATAACTTGACCAATACATAGATGAGAAGGCTACCACACTGAATAATGAATGTAGGTAAGAATGGCCCAGGAAAGAATGGCCCCGGAAAAAATGGCCCCGGTAAAAATGGCCCCAAATGACAAGTAGGTAAAAATGGCCCCAATGAAAAAATTCAGTAATAGAAATGATATATTTTTTTTAAATCTTCAAATATTTAAATATTGTAATAAGCAAGAATTGAATCAATAACAAATACAGTTACACAACAGATGCAAATAAAGTACTGAGAGATTATCAGAAAACAACGGCCATTAAACATTTTTGATAGTTGAAATAAGTTTTAAAAACGTCATTCCACTAACAAAGTAGAGGAATGACATACATACAGTACTTCAACTACCAAAATATGCAACTATTAGATAACCACAAAATTCACTTATTGTTAAGTATCAAATGAAATAATTTTACATGTTATAAACAGTGCAAATAAACAGTAGTTAAAGCATGTTGATCAATTATGTGTTTGAATGACAAGTTCATATATGGGAAATGGGAGGCTTACTTTACTTCAACAAATTTTCTGCTTAGAGTTACTTCAAAGAAGTATTTGTTAATTAAATATTGTTTTTAAAGTAAACTGAATAATTAGGAATACATTTATTTAAGCAACTTACTTAATTGCATACTTGGTTTCTACTCCCCGCCAAGCAAATTTAAGTGCCTAATACTATACTAAATAATGTAAACTGAGATACTATATTATATACATAGTTATGTAAATATGGCAATTATGCTAAGAATTAAAATGGTGTGTAATTGTGAGGATAAAGTAATGGTAGGATCAAATGGTACAGTATTGCTAAATCCCAAAAACCTCCTAAAACACACTGTAGAAAACCAAACAATTCAATTGTGATTGACTCACTTGGTACATCAATAAGAAAATTAAATATTTACAAGAACCTATTTTTTGGTTAAAATGTTGATTTTTTTTTGGTGATAAAATACTTGCAAATACACCACAATCCTCCAAAAACACTGCGAACTCCATCCAAAGCCTTTTAATTATGATTGTAGAACTCTCTTTTTTTGAAAAAAAAAAAAAATGATAATGATAATTTGATGTTCATATAAACTCATTGTTTGTGGGGTTTACCAATACCCGGATTGAATTTCTGGAAAATTGTGATTCCGCTTCCTTGAAATTGGCCACAAATAAATTATTTTAGTATTAATAAATGCTAGTTTCCTTTTAAAAACTAAATTATTTCAGTTTAAAAAAATGCATATAATGATTTTTAAAAAATCAGTTTTAATACAGAATTTTATTATTGGGGCCATTTTTACCTACCTGTCATTTGGGGCCATTTTTACCGGGGCCATTTTTTCCGGGGCCTTTTTTACCGTACACCCTGAATAATAGGGCTAGCAAGTTGAATTGACTGTATCCCTGCACTAAAATTTATGCTGAAAAATCTATCTGCGCATTTGAAAATGAGGACTGATTTCCATTGAAATTTTTGCAGAAATTTACAGATCTGCTCACCTTATTTCCTAGCATCTGTCCACTCATGAGTTATTTTCCTCAAATATTGCTAATAGAGTGGGAAGGCAATAACATCTTACTACCATTGCCCAGTGTTGAGCATTCTGTTTCATTTCACGTTTATTTACTTCTCAATCACCAATCCACTCTACTGCATTTAAAGTACTCTTTTTTCTACATTAAAAAATATTGCATAAAATTATAAATTTCTTTGCTAAAACAATATGAATTGCCTTTCAACTGCATGTTTCTTTTTGTTTTTTTTTTTAATGATTTACATAAGTGTGTCTCTGTCTCCATAACCTCATCATATATTACTGTACATAGAAAGACAATTTTACTCATACGCATAATACCCATTATAAAGTTTGGTGTGTCTCATATTTCATTACAAACCCATATATTTCAAGATTTAATTGACAGTTCAATTAAAACATCAGACATTAATATTTAATAGCTCTGATTACAAGAAAGATTTAAAGTTAGATGTCTGAAATGGTTTTAATGTACACTAATGAATACAATAATCATTTCTTTTTCATCGTATATTACATTTACTTTGACATTCAGGTATGGTCAGAAGCTGGTTGTTCCAGTGAATATTTCTGAGTTTTGTAGTTTGTATTTTTGTATCTATAAAAATGGTAAAATTTATTTTAAAGGTATAGTATAATGTTTGCAATGTTATACTGTAAAAGCTGAATTAAGCATTGTTTTTTTTTTAGCTGAGCCTAAAGACAATATCTGAGTGGAGTGAATAAACTTACCATAAATTTAAATAATAATTCTGATATTTGAAGTGTTTACGTCTGTTGTGTTCCAGCTTTAATTGAAACTGTTTTACCAGGGTATTACATTTAGCAGACATGAATTAAGACATACTTATTCAGTATAAGTACTGTTTCTATATTTTTTGCATACAGTAGTCCATTAAAATTAGCTAATAAATCAATTTTGGGAATTTTAAGGTAAAAAGTATTCCCATTGAAAACCTTTTTTTTTTTCATTTCCTTAACCTTAATTATACTGTATCTCCTATTTTAATGAGTAATTCACTCTTTCAATTTGTTAGGTTTTCCAGAATATACTGAATAGCAAATTAATTTTATTTATTTTTTTTTCTGTCTAGGTGCAATGACTCACCCTCATAAACCCCTGAAACAGAACAGCTCTGAAGAGGACTTGGTGTCTGGAGATCTCACTGATCTACCCCTGTTCAAGAACATGACCATCAAAGGGGTATGTTTTACATTTACACCTTATACCAGCTACTGTATATTATAACATGGAGGAATTAGTTTTCTAAACTAAATCCTCCATGGTTATACCCAGGTACACAGTATTATTATTAACTAGAGTGCTAACTATGTGACAGAGCAATGCAGAGTGTTGTACAGTACAATCGGTACTGTATGACAGCCATAGGAAAAGTACCAATTTTTTGCATACAGTGGTATACAGTTTATAACCAACTTATACATTAAACGTAGTATTGTTTATGTTTGCGACCTTTTGTACTACAGTCTTCTCAATTTTCGTAAAATGCAATTCCATAACTATGTCTTTAGATTTCCGTAGTAAATGAAAAATTTCCTTAGCACCACCCAATAATTTGCCTTGAGTGATAAGTATGGAGTTTTGAAAATGGGCCCGATCGATCGTCCAATTGTCTGTAATTCGATGTGGAATTTCAAAACAAAAGAGACGGGGTGAAGATTTTAGGGTCACTTTTTCTTAGTTTTCACAATAATTTTCTGTAATCAGACAAGTATGAGTTGTCTTGGGACAATGTAACCAAAGATCCTGATGGAAAATAATTTTGTCTGTATTTAGACCAATTTATTTATGGGCCTAGTTTAGGCCTATATAATACAGTATGATAAATTTCCGTACGTTTGTAATTAGGCAAAATTTAAGTAGAATATACTGTAGGCCTAACTACGGACGTTCCGTAGTACTTAATTAGTCTGATACTAGACCACTTTAAGCTGGACGCACACTGTACTGACATTCGTTGTCTGACACCATTCCATGGAGAATGCAATACGACGAGTGAGTGTTTAATATAAGTAGGCCTATGATGAAATCACTTACAATATAATTCTTAAAAATGGAGACTTTTTAAAAATTTGAAATTTACATTCTACAAGTCTCAACATAATATCAAGTTATTAAAATAAAAAAATGTATAGCATTCTGTTTGACATTTAAACAATTCCAGTGAAGTTTTACATACACCTCAATGCCACAGTTGAATCTTAGTTTAATCTAGAGGTTCAGAAAGCTAATGGTGGTAAATCATCTACAGTAGTATTCAGAAAAATAAAGCTAATGGTGGTAAATCATCCCAGTAATCAGATAATGTGCAATATGGCTGTTTGCTTTTTTAAGTAATTCCTACCTGACTCCCCACAAAAAATACAGTACAGTACTGTACTATCTGTACTATCATGATGAGGTGTACTATATGACAACAATTTGACCTAAAATGACCTTACTAGCATGAGATAGCCGAGAATCTATCAAGAGCAGGCCTGCATGATGACTTGGTACTTTATTGTTTGTTTATGTTAATTTAAACGGGGCCTTTATAGGCATAGGAAGTTCTTTTTTGTTTTTCCTTTTTTGTTTTGTTTTTTTACATGCTCATGCTGACTGTAGACATTTTTATTTTACATGGCCCAAACATACTTTTGTTTCTGTAGAAAAGCTTGTATGTACTGTACAGTAGTGTAAGTTCATTTCTTTAATTTTAAAATCATTTTGTTTATTTACTTTATTCAACTTTATTTACATAGGGTAACCAAAACAGCAGTTGCTGATGATCATGAGCCCTCACATATAGTAAAAACATTGCAGTTTATGCAACAATCACAAAAGCTATCAATTTAAAGAGAGAACTACACAATTAATTTATTTACTGACTGACTATTTAGTGTAATTACATAAATGGCAAACATATTTCCATTTAAGTCATTCTAAATTTAAGAACAGAGAATTAGCATTAAAAATAAGATGATTCAATATTAAAAATTGTCACTTGGTTTTTGCTCTGAGTATTACAAGTTATAGTACTGCATAGTACTGTAGCCCCTATCTACAGTATAGCCATCTTGTAAATTTAAAGAATTTTGAAATAATCTCTGGATAGTATGTAGGAGGATTAGGTCATGGGTGATCTATCCGTAGTACTTTTCTCCTTATCTTATGTCAATGATTTAGCCATATTTCCATATAACTACGGACAGTTAAAAATATAATGTACTGTACAGTACTGTAGGGTCTATAATAGTACTCTTTATGTAGTCCTATGAAGTCTGTAGTAGGCCTACGGTACATGTTAAGCATGTACTGTAATAACATTATCTAATTACCCTGTTTCAATAAGGTTTATTTTTCATTTTAATTTGGTCTATATTATAGTTAAATTTCAAATAGAAATCCATACACTGTTCCATGCCAACATGACCTATTGTAACTTTACTGTTAATCCTGTGTAACTTTTATTAATAATTATGTAATTATCATTATTATAATTTAAAACCTCATCTGTGGTACTGTTGTACATTATGCAGTGTTTTGTCTGTGGTTATTTTCTGGATTGTACAATACTGTCACTGTCAGATTTTTGTTTTGGAGGACATATTTCAAACTACAGTATTATAAATTTGAAAATGGCCATGTCAAGTAATGCACACTTCTCAAGTTCGTAAAATGTATTTCCGTGTAACTATGTCTTCAAATTTCAATAGTAAATAAAAAGTCTTCGTAGCACTCCAATAATTTGCCTTGAGTGCAAGATATGGGTTGCTCAAAATTGCAGTACAGCTGTGGAATTTCAAATAAACTGGACAGGATGAAGATTAATCGGTCACTTTTCAGGAAGATCAGGCATAGTTTTGCATTCTTTCAGATGGGGTCCGAAAATTGGCCCAATCAGCCTGGGCCCGGTTGTCTGTAATTCGATGTGGAATCAAACAAATGGACAGAATGATGATTTACGATCCACTTTTCCTTAGTTTTCATGATAAATTATTTGTGATCCCTTAAGTATGAGTTGTCTAGGGATAATGTAACCAATGATCCTAATGAAAAAGTCATTTGTTCTGGATTTCAGACATATTTTAAGGGTCTAGGCCTATGATAAATTTCCGTAGTATTTTGTCTGTTTCCGTTATCTATAATACGGCAAAATTACCGTAAAAACTATGCCTAACTATGGAATTTCCATATTTATTTATTTATTTTATTTATTTATTTGAACATACACCTTCGAAACGGTGGCACTCAACAATAATTGGTGCGTTCTCAAAGTAAATGAAATAAAAAGTACAAAAACAATACAAAATAGTTAGTAGTAGTTGGGAAAAAAAAAAATCATCTGTATTAAGTACAGAAGGCCTACCAGAGATAAAAAGTTTAAAATGAGTCTTAACTAATAACAACATTATCCAATATTCTTGGATATAAACAAAAGGGATACAGAACAGCAATGTAGAATAAGAACTAACAAAAAGTACATAGTACTTGAGAAGTCTGAGTAATGTGTTCAATATTTGTCAATATTATGCTGCTTTGAAGCATTGCATTTCATTTGGCACTTCTGTTGAGCAATATCTTGTGTTAAATTCCACAACTTGAAATCTGTAATATGTTGATGACCCAAATATAAGGAATTACAAGGTCACAGCTCATGAAATCCAATACTATATAGAAGAGGTGGGTAATAAAAATAGTATCTAGTACTGTATGCTAAATCTTGCAATTTCTTCCTTGGGGGAATTAGAAAAAAACAGTCTAATTTATTCAAGGTTGAAATAGCTTTTATTTTTTCCAGGGAAGAAAATTGTTACTTTTTTATTATCTTGATTGAAAATAGAAAAAAAAAGACCTTTTTGTGCTGAGGTTTTGTATAAGTACCGGTATGAGATGAACAAGATTCAGGCCCCCTTTGTTCTTTTCACTTCATATTTTCAACACACGTTCATAAAAAAGGCACAACGGCAATAAGGGTGGAAAAAGTGTAATGGCATCTAAGTATTTCTGGATGTGGCCAGCGAGGCCATCAGGACGCATTCAAACCCCTGGTGGGGTACAGAGGATAATCATTCTTGAGCCTATAGAAACTTGACATTGTACAATGTACAGTACTACACCCAAAGGGGTTTTTTTTGGGGTGGGGATGGGAGGGAGGTTTGGGTCCAACAATTTATGGCCAATGTGTTTGAATTGTATGTTATTAGCTTTTTATTGAAAATTAAAAAGAAAAATGTTTAGCCAAAACAGAGAACAGAGGCATACATATTTACTACACTACAGTATACTGATCAACAAAAACCCTTCTTAAAAATACCTTAGAAAACATTAAAATAGTTCTATACTGGTAGCTAAATTCAAATTTGGTTACATAAGTACAGTAGGCAACAATCATTCCTATTAAATAAACAATAATATACTGTAGATTTAAATTTATTAGTAAAAATATATACTGTATTATATATATAAAAAAAACAAAAAAACATTTTTCTTGCAATTGTTTTTTTTTTTTTTTTTTTTTTTTTTTTTAAGAATACTTTAAGATCCTTTTCAATTCCATATCAGTAAACCATACAAAATACTTCATTTTAGGTAGAAATTTATATTTCAACACATGTAGTATCAGTTCTAGTTTAAGCAATGGGCTTGGTGTACAGTACTGTACTAGAGGGAAGAAAGTACAGCATATTATTTTGTTAACCCACTTTAATTACTCGTTTGTGTCTGTCGAGAGAACCCAGATGTGTTTTTGCAGTATGAAATAGTTCAGTAGGATGACAAATGTGTGCCGTGGGGCCTAGGAATCGCTCAAGCCCAATAATATGGTTGAACTAGATTGAGTTAATTAGCATATTGATTATATGTGATCTTGGTAGAAGTACTTTGGAGGTAAAGGTATTGTCTATTCAAATTTTGGAGTGTAATTGAATGACTATAATGTGCACTGAAAGCCCTTGATGATTCATAGGCTCTCATTTTGTCAGAAGATTCAACTCTTCCTGCGAAGGATGCGCTCAGATAGGACGGGAAACCGGACTTATGTAAACTGACCACAATATATACAGATCTTAGAATCAAGCATAACTTGGTGTAGCATTAATGTTTAATATTCTGTTAGTTTTATTCAACTACTGTAAACAGTTTGAGTTTGGTAATTGTACTATTCATATTGATTTTCCTTATATGGTTGTTTTTTCCAGGTGAGTTGAAGTCAGAGTTCTTTGCATTCTAATGTCAGAAACAATTTCATGCTAGATTGTACTGCCTTTTAAAAATTTTGATGCAATGTAATACAGTTAAACATTTATAAATAGTTTAAAGACATACAATATAACCTAAGATTTGGTTTTATCATGACTACCAACTCCGTAGTATAGATTTAATTTACAGTATATAGTTAAATTTTCAGGGTATGTATTTTTAAAAATATTTTTTAGCTAAATGGTCAGGATAAGGCAGACACCCGCTGGACTCTACCTCGTCTAAAAACATATGATGCTGTAGTCTTCGACATGCTCAGGGTGGTGCCAGATCATTTTGCAGTAAGTATAACATTTCTGGTTTTACAGTATTACTAAAACATCAGATGATCCAACATGTTAAGTCAATTGTCAATAAAAGTATTGTATTTTGTTTCTTATTTCATATAATGAATCTGCACCAAGTAGGGTTAAGACACCAAAAACTAAAAACGTCCTCATCTTATTAGAGAAGCAAATTGGTTGGTTGATAGGTAATTCTTTAATGTCCTAGTCCTTCCTTCTCTTGTTAGTATAACAAATCTAAGTAGAGCTGACATTAATCAGGAAGTAACTAAAGAAATAGATGTTTTTTTTTTGTCCTGACTATTTTGCTTTATATTAATATTAGCAACAATAAATCATAATCTATTAAATTTACATTGGAAATTTGGTAGTACTGTACCTGTACATAGAAAATCATAGCTAAGCTGAGAGTAATGTATGCAACACCTATCCTGATGTTGTCAACATAGTAAAAGTGAAGTTAAAGTGACACTCAAAACCTGACGACTATCAATTGTGCATATATACAGTACAATTACTAAAAAATAATGGGATTGACATGTAACATGTGCGCTATTGCTCTACAACCAGTCAAGGATAGAAAGTTCAGGATATTTACTGTACAGAGTATAAAATGATAAAGTATGGGCTCAGAATTTATAATGACAGGTCTAATGGAACAGCCACTTTAAAACCAGACAGTGATGCACTATCATCACTAACAAGCCTTTGATGATAGATTGTGTTATGGTATCGCTAATTATCTTCAACAAAATTAGAAAAACATCTCTGTGTTTTGGTCATAAATCCAAACTTGTTAGGCAGCATCAACATCAACAGTGAATAAACTCAATGTTATTAATCAATTTCAGAACAATAAATATAACACTGAGTCAATTACTATATTCCTTTATATTCCTATTTTTGAATATTCTCATTTTTTAAAAATACAAATACTGTATGCATTAATTTATTAGCCAGCTGTTCCTATGCTGATTATTTATACTTTTTTTTTTTAATGTATTTTTCAGAAATATTATTGCTATGTTTTAATTGCTACAGTATGTGCTGACATTTTCCCTTTGTTGTCATTTTTTACTTTTAATGTATTTTACAGAGTCAAATAACACTAATGGATTTGCCAGTATTTAAAAGTATTACAGCGGAAGTAAGTATTAAGATTTTTATTATGATTGTATATTATTTTAATTGAGTATGAGAATCGTCACCACAGAGAATATTACAAATGGAAAACAAAACTTTATATTCCTTTCATTTTTACTTTGTTATACAAATGTACTGTATATTAATTTGTATAATTGATATCCCTCCATCAAATTGGTACAGGTTTATTAACTGTAAAGCAATGTGGGGATAGTTAATTCAAATATTCAGGATTAACCAGATATCCATTAATTAAATTAAAGTAAGTATTAAGATTTTTATTATGATTGTATATTATTTTAATTGAGTATGAGAATCGTCACCACAGAGAATATTACAAATGGAAAACAAAACTTTATATTCCTTTCATTTTTACTTTGTTATACAAATGTACTGTATATTAATTTGTATAATTGATATCCCTCCAACAAATTGGTACAGGTTTATTAACTGTAAAGCAATGTGGGGATAGTTAATTCAAATATTCAGGATTAACCAGATATCCATTAATTAAATTAAATATTCAGGTTTATCTAGACTTCACAATATTAGAAAATAGCTGAATATAATTATTTTATTTTATATCTTTAGTCACATAGCTAAGGATAACCAATAGTGATTTTAATCACTGTCTTGTCAGATAAGTGGCCACCCATGATGCTCCACATAAACTAAGCCTAATAAAGAGGCTTATTTTATTATTATATAAATTATTTGTTATTTTTATTGATGAAGTGTCTGCCTGTTTTTATAGGAGCTTAGTAGTTGTGCTTGGTCAGGAAAAGACAAGAACAATGTGTGTCCAAATGTTGTTGCGTTTACAAGACGCTTTAATCATGTAAGTCTTTCCAACATATCTGACATGTTTTGATATTATATTTATTCTTGCCTAAGAAGGTTATGTATTCACCCCTATCTATCTGTGTCTTTCTGTTAGCAAGATTACACAAAAACTTATGAATGGATCATAAAATTTAGTGCAATGGTACATAATAATCTAAGAAAGAGGTGATTAATTTTTTGGATGGAAAGGTCGAAGGACATAGTGAAGGTCACAAATTTAGTTTTTGACCCTTGAGCATAAAAAAAAATAATAAAATCGCCCGTAACTGCGTATTGTTCGGTATTCAGACACAGGGCGGAGATATGTACTCTATGGAGTAACTGCTCTACTTATTATTTGTATTTACCATAACTACCGGAGTTGAATTTTGATTTTAGATGGCAGCAGAATGGAGAATAGGATAACTTAGGGTTAGGGATAGTCCTTTTCAGCTGTCAAAAGTATTATCCATTTATTAATATTATTTTTTGTTAATTATTTAATTACTTTTTATAAAATAAAAATTAGAAAAATAAATGTTTTCTCTTCATTTAAAATATTCATGATACTAATTTTTATATCCATTGTGTTAACTGGTGTTTTGGCTGGTAATTCACAGTTTATCATTATTTTTTTTTTTTTGTTCGGTTGGGGAGAATGAGTGTTGGGATATGTTAGTGGTTTAAAGATTTTACCAAGACAGTATTATAATTATAATAATAATAACAATAATAATAATAATAATATGTCTATAATTTGTGGTGTTCAATGTTGTATCTAGATGAAAATTGGATTTAAACTGCATATGTTTTCCTTTATATTCATTTTCTACAATTGTGTTTTATAGGTAAGTTTCTGGGTAGTAAAAGAGATCCTGAGTGGTCAGACGGTTAAGATTAGAGCAGAAATTTTGGGGCATTTTATAAAGATTGCAAAGGTAATAATTAATGTAAATTAATTTTCAAACTCTATTTTTTTTCTTTTCTAGTTCATGTTCTGTTCATTAGGTCTGTTTATTTCATCAGCAGCAGTGATTGCTGCTACTTATAATTATTAAAACATGTTAGCCACGCACAGGAACTTGGCATCAAAAATTGATTTAGATCCGTAAAAAAGGAATATAGTGACGATAGTAATGCTAATGATTATGACAGGGATGGTGGCAGTGCTGGGCAACGATGAGGACAACAATGGCATATTTATATATTGTAAATTAAGATGTAAGGGAATAAAGATTTTTATTGTTAATTGTGTTTAAAAGATAACTGTGAGAAAAGACTTTTAACATAAATTTAAAATGGAGATATGGATGATGTTACAAATGAAGTGGAGATCATATTATAGTCAAACAAAATAACTAAAAATATAATAACAAATGTATTATATTCAGACAGGTGTAAGATGGACATAACACAACGAGTACAGTAAAACAGTTATTTTAAACATAATTTTTAAGATTTGAGGCTTGCCATTCCAAGACCAGCATCCTGTGGCGGATCCGGGGGTGGGGGGGGGTTCAAGGGGTTGAGACGAACCCCCCTCTGTGAAGAAATGTAACAAAATACAACTGGGTCCTGGCTTACAAAAGGCATGCAAACTTACAGTACCTAATCATACTGTAGGTTGGAAGATCAGACAAACTAGGCTTAGCCCAACTAGTTTTCAATTAAATAAATTATACACACTGTTTTTGGTTCGCCGTCGTAATAATTTATGTATGAAAGTTCATTCTTCAGGCCTATTGGTTCATTGATCCATTGAAGAAAGACTACATAGGCTATCTAACTACTCAATGTTGTTGGAATATAATATTATATTGCCTGTCTGATTCTTTTCCTATATGATGGGCCTAAAGAATGAGATAAAATTACCTGACCTTTTTTCAGGAGGGGGAAAACCTTGAATTTTGAAGATCTTAAAAGTCATTAAAAGACTTCTCAGAAGTCGGGAAAGCTCATTTCGGCCATCTAGGAATCAAAATATTTCCGGGGGAGGATCCCCGGATCCCCTTTCTTTTTGGGGTGTTTTGGAACCATTTTGAACCCCCCTCTTTTAAATCCTGGATCCGCCCCTGAGCATCAGTGACCATAAAAAATGAAAATTGAATTTTATATATTCTTATTCTCCACATTATAAGCCTTAAAATGATGAGTCATTTACTTGAATTGACTTACTACAGTATTGCCCAAGTTTATATGAGTAAGAGTATTATGGCTTTTCTGTATTAAAGTATACAATACTGCACAATTCTTATGGTAATATACTCAGTTTGACATAGTGACACTAACGTTGGTTTTGGGATGGCATGCCTCATTTAATATGTCAACATTAAAATACCATGTTGCTAATAATTGTTGTTTTTATCTTTACAGAAATTAAGTGATTTGAATAATTTTCATTCACTATTAGCCATTATATCGGCTCTACATAGTGCATCTGTATATAGGTTAACGAAAACATGGAATGTAAGTATGATATGATAGAGTTTCTGCAGATATTATTCTCCTGAAGACGATTGAAGCAACTCAATCGAAACGTCAAGACTTTCTCAACTACAACAGTTCATTTCAGAACTACCTATGTGGTGTACCGCAAGCTTCGACATATATGATATGATAGTATAATACATACTCCAAGTATCGAAATGCACACCATCGTGTCGGGATTAAATATTTCGACATTAATTATGTCATCATCAGGAATGATATTTTGTCCTTATTTTTATTGTTTAAATCTAGTGGTCAAAGTTGAATGAAATTCAAGAGGACCCTTAGCAAGCTTATTCACTGGTATAGTGGGAAGGGTTAATCTCCTTTAAACATGGTTGACAGATTATAATCGGAGATATATAAAATGTTCAAATCTCATTTGGCTGTTAATATTATTATATAGATATATAGATTGAATAGTGCTGTAAAAATACTAATTATTATTAACTAATCATTTATCTTATTCATTATTACAAAATAACCTTCCAAACATAGCTAATCCCTGGGTGCAGGAAACCGAAGGAAATTTAATCACTAATACATAAACTAAAAGTTACATTTTATTTACAGCTTTTACACAAGAAAGAGCGTTCAACATATGAGAAGCTAGCAGAACTAGTATCGGAGGAAGACAACAGACAGAAATTAAGGGAACACCTTAACAACATACGCCTACCCTGTGTACCATATTTAGGTAAACTTTTGCAATAAAGTTTGTTTTTCTTCTCCAAAGAATGTAAACTACATGATCTTATTTATGTAATCATAAATATTTAGTTCAAAGTAATGAATATTTATATTGTTTATGAACTTTGTTTTTCTTCTCCCAGGAATGTATTTACAGGATCTTATTTATATTGATGTAGCACATCCTAGTACAGGAGGACTGGACAGTGAGATGAGGTCTACAAAGGTATACTAAGTTTTATGTGAAAAATATGTGTGCTTTGCCCATATATGGGGATGATATGACATCATCATGCCTATATATGGCAATTCATAGTGTAAGCAGAGCTTAACAAATATATAACAGGAATTAAAATTCATTTGCTTAAACTATATAAAATTACTAATTCATTGTTAAAAATGTGATGTTTGTATTAAATTAATTAAAGTGCAATATTTTAATTGCTTGTAAGTTTCTGTATTCATACAAAGTTAATACCTTTTAATTGAAACTAGTACTGTATATAAGAAAATAACTTCCTTGTGACCAATTAACAGAGAAATACACAGCCCTTCCTATAGTATTTACATAGACCCTTAAATTGGCTGCTAATAACATCTATTAAACATTTCCATTTGTATCAGTTTCATAATTTACAGAATATTTTGTCTGAAAATATGAATATGATCTTTCACTGCCTTGTGGGCTCTGTCACAACAAGGATTAAATTTCAGTCTCTAGAGTTGAGCACTATCTTACATATCATAAATGCTGATGAAACTAAACGTCAGTTCTAGTAAATGTAGCTTTTATACTTTACAGTGCTTGGTATAACAATTGAAAGGGTGTAGAGCTTAAAGTCAGGCTCCGGAGGAAAACAAATTGTTGATATGTTGTTCTAAGACACAAACAGTTTATTTGACAAAAAAGTTGGGAACGGTTATTGAGATACAGATTTTTGAATATTTAAAAAAAGTGGGGGGGTAAGTGGGGTAAGGGGTATAACTGCCTTTTTTCCACCCTTTTCCCCAGTTTTTTTACTTTATTTCTATCCTATATTTTACTCATTTTTCACTCCAGATTTATATCTTTTCTCATTCATATACTACCCATGTTTAGCTCTACCTATATTTAAGTGAAATCAATTCCAATTCTCTTCATAACAATTAAATTGTTTAGGTGGAAAATAGTGGCGCATCTAGAAGAAGGTGCAAGAGAGCGCCCCCCCCCCCCCCCCCCCCCCCCCCCCCCCCCTCCGTCGTAGACCCCACTGATGGCAAAGTAATGTTGTATTTTTTCTTACCTTTTTCAGATGAATAATGTTCTGCGAACAATAGCGGAATACCAGCAATCACAGTATGACCTTGAGCTTTTGCCTCATGTGCAAAATTATTTGAAATCTGTTAGGTATATAGAAGAACTACAAAAGTTTGTGGAGGAAGACAATTATAAGTGAGTAGACAATTTTATCCCTATTTCATAGGAAAATATTTATGTTCTATTTTTACTATTTTTATACTCTTGATATATTCCTTAATGTGACATCTAAAATAATCATAGCAACTGTAAAATGTGTGTTAATTCAGGGAATTACGCCCATATTCTTAAAACAAACTTTAGTCGAACTTCGAACTAAAACTTCATTTAGTGCAAATTGCAGCTTCAACTTCAATTTGTATTCACAAACTAAATCAAGTCCTAGTTTGAGTTCAACTGAAGACAACTGGCAAGCCACGACTATCAGGCGCCAATATGTGCCTGACGGCAGGGTAGGAGGGATGTCCCAGAACCTCTGAAGGGGCTCCACAGGCTAAGCTCCCCACCACTAAATTTTAATTCTCGCAAAATTAGAGTTTGTTGGGAACTGACGGTTTAAGTACTTGGCGTGATAAGTTGTAAAGTGCCACATTCAAAGCAGCCCTCGAATATTTGCATAGGCCTAATAATAAGCAGGCTTATGATTAGAAATTTAAAAAAATAAAGTATATTTTCATTCCAAAAATATTTTTCAGGGTTGCTGGACATTTATTGTTGTCGGTGTCTGGTAATAGAACGTGTCATGTATTCTTTTCTTTGTGCAAGTATAATTGTGGGCAAAGTGTCATTTCCTGAATTGGGCTTTTTTTACCCAATCGGAGTAAAACTTGATATTTTTCTTCTATTACATTGACCTTGCTTCTTCTGCCTCACCAAATATGGTTACCTGCTCGTATGTCGTTCATACATGAACAACTCCCTGGTAATAGTAATCCTGTAGGAGTATTTGTAAACCTAACATGAAGTTACAGGAATAATCGTGACAAAAACACAGTATTTTTTTTTTATCGGCCATACAAAGATTGTTCAACTTAATAGTTTGGCAGACAATCTGTATTTTTTATGTGATTTCACCTATCGTTTATCCTCCAAATACCATGGCTTTAAAGCCTAAAAACATTTTGACTGTAAAATCTCAGGTCTACTCTTAATAAGAACAAGTCTCTGATAAAGTTTTTATTTTTAATTTGCTGTCATATTTAGCTAACTACCAATCTTTTGCCATTTGTTGATTGATTGGTAACGAATTTAACTCTAGATCTAGATCATCCCTAACTCACATTGGCCCAGTGTTGTGTTTTGGCCATCACTTAATTGAAAGAATATTCATCTGCATGATTATTAATTTTAGTTTCTTTAAATATATTTTTTTTATAATTTAATTTTTTCTTGTGGGTCAAAATAATTTGCATCGCGTGCCAAATTTGCCCTGTGGGCCACCTGCGGGGTCTGAATTTATCAAACAAGAAATCAGCTTACATTTGTTTCAAGTCCATTTTTTTGCTTAAGTCAGATTTATCAATATTGCTTAAAAAATTGCTTAAAATTAAAAAGTTGATTGTACGCAAGCTAAGATTTTGCTAAGATGGTTTGATAAGTCAGCTTAAGATATTTGCTTAGGAACATCTTAGCTGAGATTTATAAATCCTGGGCCAGTGCTGTATATAAATCTCTATTTTGTGAATTAAAAGCCTTTAAAACTATCTTTACATCTTAATAATAATAATTCTTCTATTCTATTTGTTCTTATTCAAACTTGGAATCGGAATCTTGGGTTGGGCACCTTGGAACCCACAGCATTCATAGTGCAGAGCCAGACAAATTAACTGCAACATGTATAACAGATACATAAAAAGTGGGGGAGGGGGGAATGTAGTCCTTTGCCCTACTGACTCTCATTGTGAGTTTTGTTGTTTTGTTTGTGTTTCAAATTAAAACCTGACGCTGGCCGGGTTTGAACCAGGGTCTTCAGCAAAAGAAGCAGGAACAATACAGTACCTCTCGGTTAACTGCTCAGCTTTGTTTTCATTTTTAGATTATCATTGCAACTAGAACCCACAGTGCAGTTGATTACAAAATCAAAGGAAGACTTGGATATTAATGGTAAGTTTCATTCAATAATGTTGCGCTTCGCTGTCATTCATGATCAAAATCACAGTTAATTTTGACATATACAACAAACTTGGATGATAGTGCAATAATGATTCCATAATTTTAACCTCTTGTTGCCTAAAGATTTAGAGTCAGATTTCATTTACTGTCATTTTTGTAAGATAGGATAATAATTTATATGTCTACCATAAAATTTTTATCATTTATAGATTTATGTAAACATATTTAATCATATGCATTTCAATTTTCTATCTGAATTTTACATATATTTATAATATTGTAGTACTTAATTCTGTTCCTGTATTTTAGAAAAAGTATCTAGTAAGATGGTGGCTCCAGGGACACCAACAGCAACCTCCAAATTTGTCCCTGGTCATCGGAAGTCGAGAAGCTTAGGGGCCTAGTGAGTAATGCTTTTAATTGTTTCAGTTTTCGTTTGTTTTTGTTTTTGCTATGCTTTTCACATTATGTGTGGGTTTGTCATTCATAGCAGTTTTGGATATCTATTTTGACTAGATCTTTTATTGTAAAATACTTTAAGTATAAATGAAAATGAAAAGAGGTTACAGTGTATGTAATTTTATCAATAACTATATTCAATTGAAAATAATTGAATAGTGAAAAGTTTGTCTAACAAAAATATACTTAATTTTCTTTACTGCAATCTACCATTGTTTAATGTTACACTAAATTTGTTTCTTGTGATGATAATGCACATAAAATTAACATAAAATACACAGTACAATAATACAATAATATAAAAATAAAACATTTAAAATACAAAGTGCATCATTATTTAAAATAAAAAGCAATTGCTGATGCTTTCAGTAGCAACATTTGGCACCTATGTTGGTATGAAGAAATTGGATATTTGCACAATTCTCAAGTTGGTACTTGTGTTCGAAAATAAAAAATAAAACTGAAGCAAGTGTAGATTCCAAATGACATCATCTATTCCTGGTTGGAATTGATATTCCCAATGCCAGCATTTTCACGTACTGTAGTATGGGACTGCTTCTTCCCAGCCCCTTTGTCTTACACACTTCACACTCTTTCATTCCAATTCTCTTTATATGTACTCCCCTTACACACTCCACATTTTACCATTCCTTTGACACTCCCCTTTTCTCTGACACTGCCTTCCTACATCTGTCTCCCTCCCCCCCCCCCCCCCCCCCCCCCCCCCCCCGTACACTGCCCTGTATGCCTTACCCCATGTTTCGTTTTTAAGTGGCATGCATTGTCAATTTTTCACAGCATTGAATGTTGAATTATGTTTGAATCTTGTGTTTCTCTTGAATTAGTTAAGCTCTGTCAAGATTATCAAATTCTCATTTACAAAAAACTGTTGTATGTTCATATATATTCATGATGCAGCTATATGTGGTCATAATTTGATGTTATCATGACCATATTATAGGCATGTCAGACTCACATGTTGATGTCAAATAACATTTGACAGATCTTTACTAATCTAATACTCTATGAACGTGTTTGCTGTTTTTGCATGATCATGATTTTGCTTGCTCAATTTTCTTGTCCTTTGAATTGTGTTTCAGTTTTCTTTCCACGGGTACCGAACTCAGGTGAGCCTTATTCTTCACTGCCTCCTCATTCCTCGTCTCTTTATTTCCGTTCAATATTGAATGCATTACACTTGCACTGATGCCTGTTGTTTTTGTTTAATTGATGTTGATTTATTTTTAAGTAAATTTTTTCCTCAAATTAGTTAGTTATCTGTTGAAATATTGATATTGATAAGTTAATAACAGAAATGTTTTTATAAGCATAAACAACTGCACTTCCCAAGCAAAAGTTAGTTAGAAAATTGAGTGCCAAACAACCAGATTTGATGGTCTGAACAGACTAACAAAATATTGTGTTTAATAAAGCCTGCATTGAGTTAATTTGAAGTACAGCAGTCAGTTACTAATCACATGTCACTGGTGAACAGTATTAGGAAGTCTAAAGTTTGTATGTTTTCATTTCAGTATTCCGCCAGGTGGCTTTGGAACACTTGGGAATGGTTCAAGGCATCTATTAGATGATAGCATCCTTGAGGATAATCCACATGCTAAGCCATCTGTTTCAACATGCAGTTCTGTGGAAGGATCCATGAATGGAATGTCAATAGGTAAGGCTGAAACTGCATTCACACCAACGGCTTAGCCAGCGAGCAGTCTGGCCGTCTTGTGGACGGCCAAAAATTATTTAGGACGGCCACTTTTACCGTGACGGCTTGGACGGCTTGGCCTAGTCAGCCCGGCCTAGCCTAGTTGGGCCTGGTCTACTTTAGGAACTTCTTTATATTCTTCGAATCTATCAAATGTTGCACTAAACTAAAGCATATTTTGGGCGACCTATTTCCTATTTCTTGCTAAACCCCTGATTCACCCTCCGTTTCCAAACCAACTCCACTCTGTAAACCTCATAAAGACAATTTTGGTTTATAAAGCATCTCTTTCATCCTCTAATTAAAGTCATTGTTGGATGAGAATGTATGAAATTACCCCCCCTCTCTTTAACCATTCCAGGTGTTAAATCAATTATCAATATTTTTTCTTTATCCATTCGTTAATCTTTCATTCTATTTTTATTGTTTTTTTTTTTTGTTTTTTTATAGAACCTGGACCATAATTTATATAGCGCCTTTCACAATCCGCAATTTGCAGATCCGCACATTGTGCAACATTCTCTGCTCCCCGGGGAGTATCCCTGGTCATTGTTGCTTGAATGCAAACGACTCATACATTCAGCACAATACCATTCTACCAGGTACCTATTTATACTCCTAGGTCCTAGGTAGAGAGAGAAGCAGACATATGTAAAGTGCCTTGCACAAGGACACAAGAAATGCGACGAGCGTCGGTCTTGAACTCCCGATCTCACAATCAGAAGTCCAACACCTTACATGCTGCGCCATACGCTCCATCAAAGTATTTAATTTATACTGTTTATTATTTTTTTAATTACCTTATTGTTTCGCTCTTCCACCATTCTATCCAGGCGGAAGTAGTGAGGACTCTGAGGTAAGTGATGATCAAGATGTTTGGTTGAATGACGGTATATCAGAAAGTCTGGAAGACTTAGTGCAAAATATACCCGAGATTCCAACGTCATCATTCACTGTACAAGGTGAGAAAAACATAATGGTGGTTGGTTCTCTCATTAGTCCAGTTTAAAATCATTTTCAGAATGCAGGTCTTCATGTCAAGACAAGTAGATTGATAATGCCTGCCAATGAATTCAAACATTAGATAGAGAAGCTCTGCTTAGAATTCTCAAAAAAACTCCAAATGTGCATAAAAATTCTTGTTTAAATAAGTACAATTGTGGAAGATGTAATTACTGAACACCTCTGCATGGAAAAGCTATGAAACTCACTGATAATGCTCGTAATTCAGCACAATGACACTGTATATCAGATTAACAATACCATTGTGACATGATGTTATGATTTCTAATTTTTTTTTTTTCTTAAATAATTATATTTTGTTAAAACTCATTTTTCCATAGGTCCTCTAAAAAAGAAATCTGTAATGAAGAATGGTCGAAAAGTGTCTGTAAGTATTTTGAGAAATAATCAATTACTTCAACTAAGTTTTTAAATTACATTATTGTTCACTGCATGGAATAAACAGTTTTGTGTAATACATACCCATTGCCAAGATGTGAGCTTCTAATAAACCATAATTTTTTTCTGTATTAAGATTCCGCAATAATAATGTTGTTTATTATGTTGTATAGGTATCATCCTGGACTAGGTTTTGGGTGGGTCTATGGGGAACCAATCTGATATTTTATGCTGCCAAAACATTCTCTGGTCCAGACAGAACAAATGTAAGTAGTTGCTATTTAATTAAGCATTGAATATTTTTTTTATATTTTATGGCAATACAGTAAAAATCCGTTTTACGAATAGTCAATTTTATGAATGGTCTTTGCCCCTGATGCTGTCATCATCGACAAATTATTACCGTAAAAAAAGTCCGATTGCACATGTTTTATAAAGTGATAATGTATATTTTTTTAAATAAAATAAAGTTTGTTGTATTTATTTATTAATAGTTCGATCTTTTCTTCTATTTCTGGTATAATAATCACTATATTAATGTAATAAACCTAACCAGAACAACAAACTACCAAGGCAAGTGTCGTCAGATTGAGCGCACATGTTTACGATGACGAATGAGAGTGTTGGGCTCAGCAACTTATTGACATCGTGAATGCTAGATATGATCGCGAAATGCATGTAAACAACACAATTCAGCTATCTAACAACTAGAAAGAACACGATAGAAAGGGCCATAAAACATCCAGGTGTTTGAATAAGAGTTAAAATAATATTTTGTTAAGTTGAAGAATGCCAGTGATTAAAATAATTTGGTTTTTATCGAAGGTAAATTCAGCTAGGCTCTAGCATGGTAGACCACGCTGCACGTTTTACTGTACATAAAATGGAAGTGCATTCTTTTTTTTGGGGCTTTATTGACCAATTTTCCATGTGTATTATATACGTATACTCTAAATAATTAATAACTTTTGTTTTTGTTGTTAGTGATATTACTATCATTATCATCATGATAAGAGTTTCCGACTGAGCATGAATTAAATTTTTTTATCAATTATTATCATTATCATAAATGAAAAATATTTGTTTATATATTAATATTTTTTTACTAGTTCTTACTCTTTCCTAATTATTCAATTCTTCTATAATTTTGTTGTATGATATTTATATACAGTAGTATTTCTATACAGATTATGTTTTGTCTAAGTGATTCTTATTTGTGTTTTACTATTTAGTTTCGTTCCAAGCCTAGTAAGATGACATCTATTGTTGATTGGATGGTGATTGTCCCAGAGTCTAAGGGCCACAATGTATTTCTGTTAGCTGACTCTATAACAGGTGAATTTTATGCTATGTTTATTGTTTGTTCTTCAAAACACCATACGTTCCTTGCTTTTTTATTTTACATATATAATATTAAGTATTCACACTGTATATGGTTGATAAAGGTAATATTGTGATGCCATTCAAGATGTGCAGTGGAGAGCACAATATACAACAGTTAACATTATTATTTCTTTTATTCGTGTTGTTATTTATGTTCTGTTGTGTTCAATACTATTAGGTAATTCTTACAAATTCAAGGCAACAAGTTACTCAAATACTTGCCAATGGGTTAGGAAGCTAGCAGATGCTACAAAGAAGAGTCGGCAACAGGTAAGCAGTGATTGACAACATGCATTGCGACTTACTTGGTCACATTCATGGTCAAAAGCAACAACACACATGGTAATTTACAGCCCCACTCACATGGCCAAATACACAGCCAGATACTTAGTCACATGGCAACACACATAGCTACTTGGACGGTGACACACATGCTCATGCATCACACACAGCTTTACATGTGACAAAATTTAGAGCTTACGCACATTGGCATATACACAACCATACACATAGCCTCATGCACAGCAGGGCTTGAAATTAAGGGTTATTTGGTCGCATTTGCGACCTGATTTTTTAAGGTGTGACAAGGAATTCAACTTTGTCGCGCTCAGTGCGACAAGGTCATTTGATAGCGCGAGTAGATTTTGTAAGCGGCAGGAAGGTGGTTTCCCTCCAAATCCCAATTATTTACAACTTGTACAGCTTATTATTTTCAGTCAGGCAGTACGCAAAACATGCTATCATTCATTTTACATGTACTGTATCAACCAATCAGCATGACCTAGACTGTTAAAGTGTGACGTCGTACACTAAAACCGTGTTGATGTGCGCTCATCTTATTCTTGGTAAATAAGCAATCACCGTCAAAGCGAAGGAGACTGGTATAAAAACATCGGATTGCACGATTTTTTACTATTTTATTGAGTGCTACTCTTACCTGTACCTCCTCGTAATTGTGAACGTTTCCTTAACGTATTTGTTCATAAAATAGACTATGTACCGAAATTTCAAACGATCGTATTATCAGTATTGACTCATACGATGTAAACGGCCCAGATCAAGCAATAAACCAATCAGAATGCTGGGATATTACATCATTCGGGGCAACTTGCAATGTTTGGGATATGTTACTCCGCGAAACCTTTGTAAACACTAGAAGTGTGACGATGTTCTCTGGCGATTAATACTGAAG